CCAGTGCCACCCCCTGCCCTGGGCAGGGCCACCTCCCCCCAGCCCAGGTTGCTCCAAGCCCCGTCCAACCTGGCCTTGAACACCTCCAGGGATGGGGCAGCCACAGCTTCTCGGGGCAACCTGCCCCAGGGGATCACCGCCCTCACAGGGAAGAATTTCCTCCTGATATCTCATCTAAATCTCCCCTCTTCCAGTTTGAAGCCATTCCCCCTCGTCCTATCATTCCATGCCCTCATAAAAAGTCCCTCCCCAGCTCTCCTGGAGCCCCTTTAGGCACTGGAAGGGGCTCTGAGGTCTCCCCTTTTTCGCCTTCTCTTCTCCAGGCTGAACACCCCCAACTCTCCCAGCCTGTCCTCCCAGCAGAGGGGCTCCAGCCCTCCCAGCATCTCCGGGGCCTCCTCTGGACCCGCTCCAACAGGTCCATGTCTCTCCTGTGTTGGGGACTCCAGAGCTGGAGGCAGCACTCCAGGTGGGGTCTCACGAGAGTGGAGCAGAGGGGCAGAACCCCCTCCCTCGCCCTGCTGGCCACGCTGCTGATCCCTGCACAGTTGCACATTGCCAGAGCTGTGAAACCCATCGCTCCTCCTGCCTGGCTCAGCTGCACGCGTGGTCTGAGCCCGACTGCTGTTGGTGTCACCTCCTGCACCCTCGAGTGCAGGTACCATCCCTGCTGCACCTTTCACGCAGCTTCTCAAATGCTCCCGCACTTCCCAGCAGCAAACACCCAGACAACGCATTTGCTCCGTGCAAGGACTTCTGCTGTTATTTTTTTTTCAGGAATAGGTTTAAATTTCTCATTTGTGGGAGACAAAGAGGGTGAGCCCAGAGAGAGCGATGTACAAAATGGGATCCTTATAATGGAATTTAAAAATTTATGAGGAAAACTGGAAGGACCTAAAGTTATCGTTACCTGAGTAAATAGGCAACATCAGGGCTGCGGTCTGTCTCACACGTAAGTGGTCAGTAGACAGACAGGACCCACAGTGCCTTTTTCATCGCCCCACGTCTTACACAGACTGATCAAGCCCAGAGCTGGAGCGGTGTACAGGCCCCGGGCAAGGGCTCCGCACGGGGATGGATTTCAGCTGCAGGGTCGACTGAAATCCCATTAAAATCAATTGAAAGCTTTCCCTGGACTTTAAATTGTGTTTGGGACTCCCCGGCAGCGTGAACGAATTTATCTCGGGTCACGGCGGGAGGAACAGAACTGCCCCGTGGGGTGGGGAAGGGAAG